CTTGACCGGACCCCGGCGCTCCCCCCCCTCCCCGGCCGGCCACTCAGAGCCCGTCCTCCGCCATCAACTCGCAGCGTCCTCGGACACCTCCAAGGCCCCCGCCGCCGCCCCAGCGCCGCGCAGCCGCTATCGCCGCCGCCTCTTCTCAACCACCCGCCATGATGACCGCGTCCGCCTCGCAGGTGCGCCAGAACTACCACCAGGACTCAGAGGCCGCCATCAACCGCCAGATCAACCTGGAGCTCTACGCCTCCTACGTGTACCTGTCCATGGTGAGCGCGGGCGGGCGGGCTCGGGGGGGGCTGCGGGCTCCCCCGCCTCCGTGCGCCCTGCTGGAAAATGGAGACGGCTCGAGGTCTCCCGGGACTTCTCTGGCCCAGAGTCTGGGCGGTTGGCCTTTTCTGCTGTGTCCTGGGAGGGCTTCCTCATAGACAAGGACCGCCTCTGCACACCCCTCTTTATTTAAGGGGAGCTTGATCTCTTGCAAACCTGATCTTGCTGCAGTTAGTACGGTGGACTTTTGCCCTCCCATCCCTTCTGCCGCCTCCGATCACGCAGCATGAGCCCTCTCTTTGCCTGGGTATCCAACTTCCATCTTGGATATGACGGGGCCTGCTGGATACTGGTATGGAATAGCAACCTTGGGGGTTGGTTGCTATTCCACAGAGTGGCTTATCTCTTCTGGGCCGACCCCTCTCGGAGCAGCTGGCTCCACCTCTCCGCTCTACTTATCTCTCTGTCCCACTTGCATTGAAGCATATATCTGTATAAATCTCCCCTTCTGCAGTCACCCATCCCTGCACCTCCGGTACTTAACTCTTTATCCTGTTGTGTAATTCTAAACGTTTAGGAGTTGTGACTCAGGAGTTGATCTAGTAGTTCTTGGATATAGTTCACCAACAATTTTCTAGGCCGAGAGTTTCTCCCCAGTTATCAGTGAAATCCTGATTGTAGGCAGTATGGCCAGAATCATCTTTAGAATACCCTTGCAATCATACAGAGTATCCAAGAAAATAGACACCAATTGGATCTGAAAACAGGCCTGGGGTTCTGCCACTCCCCTTCCCTTTCAGGAATACCCAAATACAGTAAGGTCTAAAACTAAAAATCAGAGTTTTCCATTTTGCTGGCAGTGTATTTATAGTGCCCACAATTGTCAATCTTACAGGATTTATTAACTTTATAAGTTAAGTCCAGCAATCTGCTCTACAGCCAGCAAGCTCATGAGCTCGTTTTAGCCATGTTTTAACAAGTTGATTAGAAAGGGGGGTGGAGACAGGACTAATATAGTCCAGGGTAAAGACTCCAGCACCCTCCCTTCAGACAATCCTCTTTGGCACTAGCCATAAGAAATTTCCTCTCCTCTAACAGAGACCCTTAGGACATTGTTTGAGGTGATTCCCATCATGCTCTTGGGTTCTGAAGGTTCTTTGAAGTAATAAATTGTCAAGGATCTTTAATTTTCCACTTTAGAGTGGAAACTGAAACACCTTTAGGTTCACTCCAGGAACACTCCTGCCCCCACCTCCTCAGGTACTAACTCCCTCCCTCACGCTGACTACTGATGGTCTGTTACAGCTGCCTTCCTTTGGGAATTTCTGACATAATGTTCATGTGCTCCTTCCAGTCTTTCTACTTTGACCGAGATGACGTGGCTTTGAAGAACTTTGCCAAATACTTTCTCCACCAATCTCACGAGGAAAGGGAACATGCTGAGAAACTGATGAAGCTGCAGAATCAACGAGGTGGCCGCATCTTCCTTCAGGATATTAAGGTGAACATAACATCTGAGGGGGGCAACGTAGTTCATAATCTAGTATTGCTCAGGAGTCTGAAATCACTCACAGGCTAGAAGTTTTTCCTTATACAATGACAAGTACTGGGCTTTTGCCCATTTAGGCCTACCATCTAAAGTAAAGTAGGCAATAAATAATATTGCAAAAGTATTAAATTAGGAGCTCTTATCCAGGAAAACATGGATGTCCCTTACCAAAGTGGTGGTCAGATGTTGGGTGCTCATGTCATGACCTACGGTGGGTTAATTGGTAGAAACTGCAGATGCATTGACCTAATCACCTCTCATTCAGAAACCAGACCGCGATGACTGGGAGAATGGGCTGAACGCAATGGAGTGTGCATTACACTTGGAAAAAAATGTGAATCAGTCACTACTGGAACTGCACAAACTGGCCACTGACAAAAACGACCCCCATGTAAGTACTGGAAATCCAGGGGGAAATGGAAATCATTTGTTTGAGGGCTTGGGAAAGCTGACTGGTAACTTTTCTTCCCAATTTTGTTTTCTAGTTGTGTGACTTCATTGAGACGCATTACCTGAACGAGCAGGTGAAGTCCATCAAAGAATTGGGTGACCATGTAACTAACTTGCGCAAGATGGGAGCCCCGGAATCTGGCATGGCAGAGTATCTCTTTGACAAGCACACCTTGGGAGACAGTGATAACGAGAGCTAAGCTTGAGGCTAACTTCCCCAGGGCCACGGGGTGACCTCCCTGCTCACCAGGGCAGTGCATGCATGTTGGGGGTTTCTTCTACGTTTCCTATAAGTTGTACCACGACATCCACTTACGTTCTTTAATTTGTACCATTCCTTCAAATAAAGAAATTTGGTACCCAGCTGTTGTTTTTGAAATCTTGGGATGGGCCAGAAACCTGTCTAGTCCATCTTAAGTTTATGTCTTCTTAGAGGGAGAGACCGAAACACACCCTGCGGAGTCCTCATGCTGCTGGCTATCTTACCCTCAGCCTTAGCCAGGCAGGGTCACCGGCACACACTTGAACAGTGTGTACCAGGAGACCTCAAGGACACGAATCAGGACATCACTGCCTTAGGATCATGGAACACCACTGCACCGTTGCAGCTGGCAGTTGCATTTTAGTAGCGCGATTCAATTTCAGTTACATTGATTAAAATGAAATGTCTAGGAGAATATTTGTATTTATTAAACTCAGTTTGGGAAGGATAACCAGGTGTGGGGTGTATGGGAGTCACAGGAGTAAGGACTCCTGATAACTGAATTGTGTATTTTCAGTGCTTCATTCTAGCTTTCACAATTTTTATGTATGAAAGGCATTTAAAGGCTGAAGTAGTCTTAGACTACGGGTTCTTTTATCCATTAAACCATTTAACGCAGGCTGTCGTGATATTCTTCAGTGTGGACAGCTGTGTGGCTATTAGTGGATCAGTGTCCTGCTGGTGTACATGCAGGTGAAGACCAGGCCGTGAAGCATCCCCTTAGGAAATGGGTTAGGAACGAGCTTCATCCCTGTTGAGAATTTGAGAGTTTACAACGTGAGGATAGAATGGACCTTCACTTCAATGCCAAGTTTGCAGTAGGATAAAGATGAAGACACCTTAAATATTAACTCTGCCTGAACAAGTCACAGGTGGTTTGTAAAAGTCCTCTTTAGCCCTAGAAGTAAAACTGAAATCGTTGCCCTTTAAATAGTTTTCCATCACAATAGCTAAGTCTTCTGACCACAAAAATAACTACTTGAGAATTTAGAAATGAGAAGTTACACTTCCTCCCCACACCATGATTTGGTGTAGATATATTTCTAACGTGTGAAGTGTTCTGGAAATCGGAAACGATTTTGTGACAGCTTAGGGCTGACCTCAAAGAGACAAAATTCACAAGTATTTTGGTGAGGTCCTAAGGCACTGAGCAGATGGTCCATGAGATACCCGCACATCTCAGTTTCTGGGGTTGAGGCAGTGGAGTCTGCCACCCTTTGTGTGGTGCTTAGGTACCAGCACAAGCGGTTATGGGGAAGTGCTCATTTGCCAGCACCCAGCTAAGCTGAGCAGTGAGTACAGTTCAGGGTATGAACTAGAGCCCCCATGGGTTTTTTTGCCAGCTGTCCCTGCTCAGTAAGCTGGGCCCCATGATGACGGGTCCATCTAAGCCTGGCCTGCCATCCTTGTGGTAGCTTTTCCTCTAGCATCGCTCCTATCTGTGGAACTTCATCCTTAACCTGGATCCCAGGGAGGTCTTCCTGGTGACATTAGGCACTTGGGTGAAATGAGCTAAGGTTCTCAACTTCCTCAGGTCCTTGCCGATGTGGCCAGATGCATACCCCAAGCCAGTTCCAGGCAGAGGTCTAGCATGCTCTGGCAGTAATGGAACCACAGGAAGTCATGGAAGGGTAGGCTCAGAGCAAGGGAGGGTGGTGGGAACTGAGTCATACAGGAGAAGGCAGTGACCCTGGTTTGAGTGGACATACCTGGTTTCCAAGGCCCAATAAGGGTCTGCATGATCTTTGAGTATAGTGTGTATGTCACTTGTTGACTCTCCCAAATGTTCTCTGAGAGGACATTCAGGGATCTCTGGCATATCCATCAGGTTAAACTCGACAGTTTTCCTCCTTACGTGACATATTTCTGGATGCTCCACCAAGGCCCCATCACTCTTGGGGAGTAATTCAAAACTATCCTTAGTCCCAGATGTCTCAGGCTTTAGGCTTTGGTCTTTGGCATCTATGCTCGTGATGCTGTGCAGCCTCGAGGGAGCCTCAGGGGGGAAGATCATGGGCGTGTGACTGAGGGGTGTCTGCGGGGCACTGTGGTAGCCTGGCCTCTCATACAGTGGAGCCGACCTGAAGGCGTCCATCTTCAGCTTCCAGGCTCTGCTGTCTTCCAGTGCCCTGACATTCTGTCTGGCCCCCTTGAGGTTCTTGAGCTGGCCCTCATGGAGAAAGGCTTCCTTCTTGGGCCACAGGAGTTTGGTCTTTGAGTTTATCCTGGAAGGATGGTGGTCATGAGACTGCAGTCCTAGGAAGCGGCCGATGATGCCAGTGTAAGCATCCTCCTCCTCCTGCTGATTTGGTTGAAATTCCATCTCTTCCTTATTCAGGCTGGAAAGAAGGGGGAGACTCAGGGTTTTGTGGGAAGACAAAGGACCAAAGCCTGACCTTAATTCTCCTTTACCCTCTCCTCTGCTTCCCCATGGCCCAAGCCTAAGGTCACAGTCTTCCTCACAGTGCCTCAGTTGTCACCACTCTGAGGATCCATCAGGATCCCTGACTAGTCCCTCAAGGCCAGCTAACCTCACTGTCCTTTCTTTCCCTCTTGCCCACAGTTAAACATCCAGACTCCCTGGCCTGGCATTTAAGGACCTGTTCATCACTTGCTCCTTCCCTTTAAAAGCCCTAACTCTGGGACCAGCAGATGGCATAATGGTTACATCACTGGACTCCCACATGGCTGACCACAGTTCAAATCCCAGATCCGGTGGCTTGGAACTCACACCAGGCATGTGTGTGTACGTGCCCAAAATTCCAAGAGGAGAATAAAGGAGAAGGGATTGCAGCATGGCCATCCCCCACTGGGGTGGGGGTGGGGGTGATTCCTTGTTTTCTGTCTCTCTATCTCTCTGGTGTGCACACACAACCTATAGCAAAACTCTAAATAATAATAATTCTAAAAAGTCCTAACTCCAGGCATCAGCACAACCCCAGGTATAGTCATTCAAGTGGACAAAGGTAGGCATTTATGGTTTCAACAGGGGAGCAACACCCAAAAAGAGAAGTTTGGCTTCCTGGAAGCCCAAGCCCTTCACTCTGCAAGAGAAAGCTTATCTACCAGAGTGTGGCAGTCCTCACCCAAGTCCAGATTCTCCCCAGGCTCTAAGGCCAGCTCCAGCATGGCCCAGCTGGAGGCCACCTCCCGCACAGCCAAGGTGTCCTCTATCCTATGCGCTGTCCCGCTCCTTGGCACCCAGTGCCTGGTATCCGGTTTGGACCTTGGGTTTGAGCTTCCTCAATTGTGCATTCCCTGAAGGCACAGTCTATGTGTTTTCTATATGCACTTGCCCTGCTCCCCTCCAGCTGCTGGACCACAGACCATGCAGGGATCAAGGTGTCCTCCAGAAATGTTTCGGATCCCAACAAGCCCCCCAGCCTTCATGCTCTTACTTTTCCAACCCTTTAGAACAGTAACCATGGACTCTAGTTGGTGCTTGTTACAGCTTACTAGGATCTTCAAAGAACTGGGAGGAAACAGCCCTGGATACTGTGAAAGAAAACCTCTATTACAGCCCCTGACCTCTGTCACTTTCCAAGCCCTCTGAACTCTTGTCATCTCAGAAAGATAGGACTGTTTGGGACAGCCCTTCAGCCCACTGCAGCTTAAGAAAGATTTGATCAGGGCCAGCAGGTGGCATGGCGGGTGGGGTGCTGGACTCCCACATGACTGATGCAGTTTGAGTCTCAGACCTGGCAGCTTGCTACCCAGTGCCTGGTATCCGGTTTGGACCTTGGGTTTGAGCTTCCTCAATTGTGCATTCCCTGAAGGCACAGTCTATGTGTTTTCTATATGCACTTGCCCTGTTCCCCTCCAGCTGCTGGACCACAGACCATGCAGGGATCAAGGTGTCCTCCAGAAATGTTTCGGATCCCAACAAGCCCCCCAGCCTTCATGCTCTTACTTTTCCAACCCTTTAGAACAGTAACCATGGACTCTAGTTGGTGCTTGTTACAGCTTACTAGGATCTTCAAAGAACTGGGAGGAAACAGCCCTGGATACTGTGAAAGAAAACCTCTATTACAGCCCCTGACCTCTGTCACTTTCCAAGCCCTCTGAACTCTTGTCATCTCAGAAAGATAGGACTGTTTGGGACAGCCCTTCAGCCCACTGCAGCTTAAGAAAGATTTGATCAGGGCCAGCAGGTGGCATGGCGGGTGGGGTGCTGGACTCCCACATGACTGATGCAGTTTGAGTCTCAGACCTGGCAGCTTGCTTTCTCACTTTCTCTCTCTCTTCCTCCCTCTCGGTCTCTCTCTGGTGAACACACATCCCCATAGCAAATTTAAAAACAATAATCATAATAAATTAAGATTTTAATTTTTTTTTTTTTAAAAAAAAGAAGGGTTCTGATCAAATTAGGGAAATGAGACTATGTGGAGAAAAGTTTGATTGCCATGTATGACTTGAGGCCTTCACTCTGCAGGACAGCGTCTACTCAGGAGGTAACTGTGATAATGTGGCCTCCTTCTGGGACATGTTTGCTGTCCCACCCCACCCTCCCAGAGGCCCCTTCCCCTACTTCCACTCCCTATCCAAACAGTTCGTTAAGAAACATAGTTCTGGTCAGAATCAGGAATCAGGATCTAAAATTCCACTGCATCACTGGCTTGCCTTGAGTAAACCTCTTTCCTCTTTGTGCCTCAGTTTCCAAATCTAGACAAGGGAAGAGAACCCAAGAACCCTTTAGCTGGAGAGATCCTTAAGCAGCACAGGTAAGGGGTAAGAGTGCTGAGATGGAATAGACATACCTAGCCCAGATACACCATTTGCTACCTACGTATGACCAGTGGCAGGACGACTTCCTGAACCTCTCTGGACCTGAACTTAATCATCTAAAAATTGGAACTAGCAAACCAGGGTTACTGGGAAGAATAAAATAATATCCGTAAAGAGCACAGTACAATGCCTGGCACTTAGTGAGCACTGGCACAAGTTAACTAGTGCTGTTTTAAGTTCTCGGGCAGGCCCTTGCACTTGCTGGGTTTCCCACCCAGTTCCCTGGCACTGCCCACCTGATGTTGAAGGTGGAGCCAAAAAAGGAGGATCGACGGGACTGGGCGGAAGCAGCCGTGTAGGGGGGCTGTGGTTCTGGCTCATTCCAGTACATGTCCTGCTCCATCGGAGGCAGGTCCCGGTGCATCTCATCCACAGCCAACAGAGACACCTGGGCACAGGGCAGAGAAGTCCAACAGAAAGATCAACTCGGCAGGACTCGGAATGTGCCTGATGACTTGGAGAAGTCACTTCCTTTTCTCTGAATCTCTTCCTTTCCTGTGAAATGGAGAGGCCGATGCCCCACCACCACCACCACCACCACCACCACCGCCAGATGAGAATCCTGTGGGTGTGTGGTTGGTTTCGGGGCAGGGAAGGTGAGTGGTTGGCTTCAGGGCAGGGAAGGTGAAGGGACACAACACTTCACTGTGAGGTCTCCTTGCAGACCTGTAGGAACTTGGCTCCAGTTTGGGAAGGACCCACGGTGCAGCCTCCTCTACCCCCATACCTGCAAGTTCCTGTCAATGATCCAGTTGGTCTCAAAGTCATCATCATCTTCTCCAAAGGGGTTGATGAGCTGTTCTGCCACCTTGGGGATAAGCAAGACGCTGGAAACCCCCAGGTAGAACTCCCTGGAACCCTGCTCCCTGCCCTTGAACCTTAACTCCCTGCCATCTGCTCACTCCCATGATGCCCTTCCTGCCTGACGACTGCCTCAAAGCCCCAGTGCGCGGCTCCAGCCCCCTGCACACGTGGGCACCCCATGCATGGCCTTTCCTTCTGACTTTCTTGAGCCAGTCTCTCCAAATATCCACCACTAGCCCTGAGTTTGTCACTCAGATGAGTCACTCTCTCTCCCACCTCAGATATCTTACCTAGAGTTGCATTATTTCACTCGTTCATCTCATTCTCATTTTTGCCTTCCAACATTAATTTATTCGTAATATTTTCTAATGCGACAGAGATACATGGTGAGGCTAAGCTGCATTATAGGGCTAAGAGAGTGAAAGGGGAGCCAGACACGCCTGGCTCAGCTATGCCACTTGCTAGCTGTAAAGCCTTGGCCTAGGCAACTTCTTGCCCAAGTCTAGGTGGGCAGGTTCCTGGATATGAATCCCTAAAATACCCTGACAAAGCGCCGCAGAGGTGATGAACTGAGTTAAGGGTCCAGGGCACATCTTGTAAATCACTGGAGCACCCTGAAGAATTTCTAGCAGTTTCCTGTTTTGATTTGTAGAATCCAAAGATAATTGGAAGGAGGGTATAGAGGGAATATAATGTGTGTAAGAGAGAGAGACAGACACAGACTAGGAGGGGAAAGAGGGACTCTCACACCACCACTACCAAAATATAAAGGAAAAAAAGAAAAGAAGAGTTGGTGGGAAATAGAGAGGAAAGATAAAGAGGTGGAGAGAGGGACCAGCAAATGGCATAATGGTTACATCACTGGACTCCCACATAGTTGACTGTGGTTCAAGCCCCAGACCCAACAGCTTAAACCACACCAGGCTAGGGCTGACAGGTGGCTTGGTGTTTAAGGGCGTTAGACCCCCACACAGCTGACTGTAGTTCAAGTCCTGGACCTGGTGGCTTGCTTTCTCACATTCCCTCTGGCTCTCTCTGGTCAAATTTCTTAAAATAAATAAATAAATAAAATACTTAAATTATTAAAAAATAAAAAGAATCCCTGTTAGACGTGTTGGATGTGGTATGAAAAGGACAGGGGCTTGGTTTCCCTCAGGGCTTTTTGTGTTGTTGTTCTTCCCATAGGGCATATGCACTTGTCAGAGAAGAAAGACAGTAAGAGGAAAAATGAGAAATCACCACCACCACCACCACCACCCCCCGTGGAGATGGCTACATCACAATCCTTCTCCTCCGCCGCTCTCCTGGGACTTGGGGCACACACATACACACACACATGCTCCTGGCATGAGTTTCAAGCCACCAGATCCAGGACTCAACCTGCAGTCATTTTTTTTAATTTTATTTATTATTATTATTATTATTTTAATTTGCTATGGGGCACATGTGCTCACCAGGCAGAAACACACACACACACACAGAAACTAAGCCACTATGTATGGGACTTGAGCCAAATCTGGTCATGTGGGAGGCCAACAACCTAACCACTATGCCACTTGCCAGCCCAGCTACTGTCACTCTTATCCCATGACTTCCCCTCATTCTGGACAAACGTCTGGAGAACATTCTCTGGAGGGGGTACTGAATGGTTGGCCTGACCGAGCTGTCCCTCTCTCTCTCACAGCTGCCAAGTTCTGGGCCTTAGGTGAGCCTTGGATCTGCCCTGAGCAGTCCTTTCCCTCTTTGGGTCTCAGTTTCGTTTAGATGAAACACAGGGAACGTGTAAGCCAAAGGGTTGTGGTCAGGACCCAGCATCCTACTCTCCAGATGACACTCCCCTTTCCTGACTGTCCATCCCTAGATAAGCAAGGCCGCTCAGGATGCTCTGTGGCCACACGGACAGCCCTTTGGGGTCCGAAAGAGGCTCACCTTCAACCAGCCAGCATAGAAGAAGAACTGCAGGAATGTGAAGACAGGCACCACAAGGTCTAGCTCATGGCCGGGATAGGCCTTGGCTGGGTTCAGAAACTGCCGCCCAACCAGACAAGCCAGGAAGAAGCTGTACACGGCCACAGTCACCACCTGGGAGGAGAGAGAGGACGCAGCGGCAGAGAAGGGCACTGCAGGGACGCCGGGATCGGCAAGCTCCTGAGGCTGGGCATTCCGGGCCTTGCTGTGACTTTCACACTCGCAGGACTTTTGTCTTTAAAATGGGAGTAATCGCACTGCCTCTGCTGAACTGGACTCTTAGAACTCGACACTAGATAGAACCTTCAAAGGCAAGACCCAACTCTCCAGGCGAGCCTTTTATTCAGCCTCTAATGGGACCGTCCCACTGTAGGCTGCTTCCTGCGTACTCCTAGCCTCACCGGCCTAGTCCTCACCTGCGTGTACACCAGCGGGATACTGATCCAGTCGTAGGCATACAGGCGTCCACACTGAGTACGTAAGGTGCACATCTCCTGGGGGCAGAAGGGATGGGGTTCTGACCACTGTCATTGCCTCCCCTTACCTCAGCTTTTCGCCCAACACCAGACTGGCTGTGTGGTCAGGAGCAGCTCTCTAAACCTCTCTGTGCCTTGTCGCTATCAAAAAGGAACCACAGTCTCCCTTAGAGAAAAGATTAGAGGGGCAAAGAACAGGCACCGTCAAAGGGGTGGGGAATCCTGTTGGAACATACCCTACAACCCCGCAGTGTGCTCTGGGAAGACCCTCACGGGCTGGAGTTTTCTATTTCTGGGAAATGTTGTTTCGCCTGAGCCATAACCCTTCCCACCCGGCACCAGCCCCATCTGGGTGGTGGGCTTACATTCAGCAGGCTCTGGAGCAGGATAGAGTCCCGAATTCGACCGCCAAGCCAGGCCTTCACTGAGAGGTTGGCAAACCACACCCAGGGCACCCAGAACATGTTGTGTGATAAGGTCAGTTTTTCTAAATGCTTGTGTTCCGCGGGAGTCATAAAGCCTGTGGTAGAGTGGAGAAGGCAGTGGGTAGGAGAACTTGCAGAAGGTGGCTGGCAGCTGGTGACCAGGCCAGTGGCTGGCAGCTGGTGACCAGGCCAGGCCCTGCTAGGCCAACGCGACCTTGGCTTCTTTGGCATCCTCTTTCTCTCAACAAAAGATTACTGAGGGACCACTGCGTGCTGCGCTGGGCTGAGCACGTGGGAGAGGTCTGTCTTATTAACCACACCCAAGCTAGGCAAGGCCAAGAGGGAGGCCAGGGACCCATGTCGAAGACCTCCAGACTGCAAACCAGAGATCAGGAGGAGGAAGGGTAGAAGGAAGGAGACTCTGTACCTCACCAGTTCCCAAGCCTTCACCCCTTCCCTTATCCCTCAAGGATCTTTATGCCCTAAACCCCCTAGCCTCTGAGAGGTTTCTGGCTTCCGCCCACCCAGCTAGGAGGTGGGTCCCCACGTCTTGGCCCCACCCCACTCTTGGTTCCACCCAGTCCTCAAGTCCTGGGGTCACTGGCTCTACCCATTTCAAGCTCTTGCCACGCCCCTCCGGCTCTGGCTCCGCCCCACCCCGCCCGGGCATTCCGGGCCCCGCCCACCTGCTTGCACTAGGTGTTGGAGACTGGGAAAGCGCTTGTAGACCGCCGCGCTGATGCTGCGCAGGATGAGCACGTTGCCCAGGTTGGCGTAGCGGATGAGCGTGCGCCGCAGCAGCCGGCCTTGCTCGTCCTTGCCCTCCACGAAGCCCGACACCTTGCTCATGAGACGGTCGGGCCACGGCAGGTTTTCGTACTGGTTCCACCAGCGGGTCACGACCAGCGTCACATAGAAGCCTGGGCAAGAAGGGTAGAGGAGGGGCGAGGGGCGAAGGGCCGGGCTGTGGCCAGAGCCCAGCGCCAGGCGACGCCTCTGCTTCTGCGTCTTTCTAATACAAGCAGCGCCTGCCCCGACCCTCCTGGAAGGCGCTCGGGAGGGGAAGCCTGTCGGAGCCTCGCGTGGAGGCACGAGGGCCTTCAGGGTTATCTCTCCCAGAGAAGGCGTGGGGATGGGGATAGGGTCCCTTCTGCCAATCCCAGAAATCCATCAGACTCCCTCTACTCCTGCGCAGGGGCTCTAGGGACAATGATGTCAGCGCTAATCGCAGAAGAAGAAAATGGGGCTTGAGTGCTAACGGGCAGACTTCTTTCCTGATGTCTAGCTCCAGTCTCTGGCTGCACACATGTCCCTAAACTGCAGAGAGGCACCCACATACCACTGGCCTTCCTCTTCCCCACTGCCAGTTCTTCGTGGTCCAAAGGGCTCATTTGGAGCCTGGGCGGCCGCAGGGACCCAGAACAGCCGGAAGGGGGAACTCACCCAGCACGAAGGAAATGGGGATCAGCTGGATGTAGCTGTCGCAGTAGAGAGTCAGCTTCTCGAACAACAGCTGTTGTTCCTCTGTTAGTGCAAGCCTGGGGATGGGGGCAGAGATACGCGGACACCTTGCCCGGGCGGGCTCTGAGACTGTCCCAGGTCCAGCCCTGCCCAGGTAGGGGAGCGGCTGCTTCCTGGACTGACTGCCGCTGCTCTGCCCGAGGCAGATCCAGGTTGCTTTTCAGCAGCCTGAACCTGGGCAGGCTAGCGGAGGGTCTCGGGGTGGTTAGGTGTGATGAGAAACGTCCTGCTTGAAAAGTCCGTTTTGGGCACCATTGTTGTACGTGGCTGAACGCTGTCAAGAGTCCCAGACTTGTAGGCTTGCTCTCTCACGTTCCCTCTCTCTCTCTATCACTTCCTTCTCTGATCAAATTAAAATAAGTAAATAAATAAAGTTAGAATAAAATAATTCTAATATGTGTGTGTGTGTGTGTGTGTGTGTGTGTGTGTGTGTATGCCTGAGAAGGATGGGTAGGCAGAGCGTGTAGGATTCTTAGGGTGGTGAAACTATCTGATGATACTGTGATGGGTATTTGTGACCAAACCCACAGACTGTACAGCACCCAGAGTGACCCTTCCTGTTGATGATGGGCTTTGGGTGATGATAGATCATTATCGACGTCTGTAACAAACGTGCCACTGTGGTGCTGGGTTTTCATAGTGAGTGGGAGCCTGTGGGTGTGCGTGGGCACGGAGGGGCAAGGTGCATACTATCGGTAAACTCTCCATACCCTCTGCTCAATTTCACTGTGAACCAAACCTGCTCTAGTAAATAAAGTCTAGGGCCAGCAGGTGGCGTGGAGTTTAAGGCACAGGATCCCACATGGCCAGTGGCACCGCTCAAGTCCTAGACCTGGCAGTGTGAAAATGACAACAGGTGTCTATGTGTATGTCCAAGATCCCAACAGGAGAATGGAGGAGAAGGTATTGCAGTGTGGCCATCCCCCCCAGATCTCTCACTTTCCCTGTCTGTCTCTCCCTCTCTCTCTCTCTGGCAAGTGCATGTACCCTATAACAAATAAATAAATAAAGTCTAATTTTTAAAAAGTTACCCTAGTAACAACTAAAGCAGATCAATGTGCTTTGTTATTAGTATCAATATGAACTCAAGAATTTCATGTATTTGATGTTTTTCTATGCACTGTAGTCATTGACGCTTTATCAATTTAAAATGCTGTCAGATATTCCATGATTACATCTGCCCTACATTTCATTTAGATGAACTTTCATATTGAATTATGTATTTTTTAAATGTGCCATCTGGGCCTGGGAGCCACGTGGGAGTCAGTGAAACATGCCTGCCTAGTGGGACCAGGTAAGGCCTGAGTTTCAGAGCCTCTCCCTGGCATGGACGAAAGGGAGTTCCAGACCCTCCTGGTTTGAGTTCTGCCACTTTCTCAGGCCGACTTCATGTTTTGCTGTAGCCCTCAGGGCCTGGCCAGGAGCTCAGCTCAGCCTCGAAGTTCACAGGCACGTTGGCCCCTTAGCTGTCTAGAGGCCCCTGGGGGGTCTCTGAGTCCCAGCCCAGCCCCAGCCCAGCCTCCCATACCTATAGATGAAGCGGACGCTGTAGTAGCACAACAGGAAGATGAAAAACTCGCCGTAGAGCAGCTTGTAGATGCTGCCCCGCCAGCACAACAGCAGGCGGGAGAAGGAGCCTAAGCGGGCATTAGCCACTTGGCTTGAGTAGGTGACCGTCATGGCCCAGCACTGGGCTGCAGCAGGTGGGCTTGTGTCCTGGTGAACAGACAGAGGGGGACACAGAGGTCATGGCGACTGGAGGCCTTGGTCAGACATTAGTTGGAACTCACGTGTGGCCTTAGCCAGGATCTTTCCCTGCTCCGGGCCTCAGCCTTCTTCCCACTGGGACACTGGGAGGGGGGCGAGGTGGCTCCTAGGCCTCCCAGCTCTGACTGACTGTAAGAGGGGGGAGCCCAAGAAAGTGAGCCTTGGGCTGCCCAGCCCGAGGTCTGTGTGTTGACTTGTGACCTTAAGTCTATGTGATGACAGGAACAATAGATAACATGGAGGTTAAGGCAGCTGGATGCCACATGGCCAACTGCATGGTTTGCATCCTGGGCCTGGTGACTTGAAACTCATGCCAGGCATACGTGTGTGTGTGCCTGACATACCAAGAGGAGAATGCAGGAGAAGGGATTGCAGGGTGGCCATTCCCCCCCGGGGGGGGGGTGATTTCTCACTTTCCCTCTCTGTCTGTCTCTGTCTCTGTCTCTGTTAAGCACACACATCCTATAGCAAAAACATTTCTTTAAAAAGTCATTTGATGACAAAGGCAGTGACCACAGCAACATCAGCACACAGAGCTCAGGTCCCACGCACCTGGCAGTGCTCTAAGCCCAGTTTGCTCACTAGCCTCTCAAGCTCCCTCACCAGTCTGGAATGAGAAGCAGTTAGGGGCTGGACCAGCCCCCCACCACTGTGTTCCTATTCCCAGACATTCAAATGTTGACTGGGTGGTGACTCCGGGGTCTTTCCACCTGCTGATTCTCCTGCCTGGGGAACCCCCTTCCTGAGAGAGCTGCATAGCTCATTCCCACTTCAGGTCCCCTCCTCAGAAAGGATGTTCCCAGCCTTTCTATCCGGGAATAGTGTCATGGCCACCCACACTCTGTCCCCTCACCTTGCTAGATTTTTCTACACAGCACTTGGCACTATTTGAAATGAATTGACACGGGGCCTCTGCTTACGTGCTGCTTGTTTTCTGTGCAGAGAAGCCCCTCTTGTGTTCTCACAGGAGGTGCTCAGTAAAAGGGACTGAAGCAATGACAGGGCCCCCAGCTCCCTCCACTTACTCCGATGCAGCCACACCAGCTGTCTCTCCATGCCCGGTGCATACCACCCTCATTCTCACAAGGCTTTTGCACAGACATACAGAAGCCCATGCACCTGCACTGCCCATGTGTATGCACCACACACACATACTCAAGGATAGTCACCCTCCCTGAAGGCCCTTGAAGCTCATCCCAATCTGCCTGGGGTACCCCTTACTCACAGGTGGGGCTCCGAGCTGGTCAGGCGATTCCCCAAAAGGTCTGGCCTCTGGACTGGTGGGACTCTCTGTGGCCAGTGCCCCTGCCCACACTTAGAGGCTGGCACCACCCACGAGTGTGCTGAGCAGTCACTTGACTCCCTAAGCTGGGACCCCACAAAGGGGCTCTTGTCTTGGCCCCTTTCTGTAATCTGCTCTTAAGCAGCAACCTGCACAGCCCAGCGTGGCCCCTTTAATTCCTTCCTGGTGGGCGTTGGGTGGAGACCAGGACTGGAAGTTAGAGCAACCCCCTCTCTATGGGGGGGGAGGTGGGGGACTTCAGAAAGCTCATGGAAAACTGAATTAAAGTATGAGTTTATTTTGGTGCAAAACATTTTGAAAACCCTGCACAATTTTCATAATTTATACAATTTTCTTAATTTATACATTTTCCATGAACTTTTTGGAGGCCCCTGGCACCATTTAGCCCTACAACCCAGAAGATGAGGAATCTGTTCCACCTGTGTCTTGGTCCTTATGGTCTCACAGGGCGAGTTGGGGAAGGAGGTGCTCTGGACCTCAACTCCGGTGCCTGGAACCACCCAAGGAAATAGAGCCATCGTCCAGGCCCTGGGGCCTTCAGCAACCCTGTAGCCTATGGAGAGAGCACTGGGCTACAGTCAGAAGCCCTGGCTTCTGTCCCAGCTCTGCCACCCGGGTGTGGTGACCCTGGCTAATAGCTGCTCCTCTTTGCCTATGGGTTCCTGTCTGAAAAGGACGATATTACTTTAGAATTTCATCACCTCAATGAGAGTGACAGAACACAGTGTATTCTGTGAGGAGCTCTGATTGGTTGCTGATGACATCATAGGTTATTCTGGCTCTGATTGGTTGTCAGGCTGCTTAATGGATGGAGAAAGGAGGCTGGGGGTGGGGGGGGGAGTTGGTGTATCTGTGGGCCGCCCTGGAGGGGAATGACATAGCACCCCTGGTTTGCAGTGAGCCAGTGCAAAATAGGAGCATGTGCCCAGATCCCCAAGGACAGCTGGTTAAAATCTCAGCGGCCGATTCAATAAATTACATCAGTCCAGACTCTCCTAAGCTGCTGGAAGTAATGGTTGAGCTACAGCTGAGCTGGTCTTCTTGTCTGTTATAAATGAAAAGAGCAATGCTTGGAGCTGCAGGGGTCTTTAGTGGCCCAAAGAATCTCCTGAAATGTTTATCAATGTGCGCTTTGTCAGACTCTCCTCCAGTCTGATTCTGTGGCCCTGGGGATGTTGTCTTTTTATCAAACACTGCAGATTATGATGTAAAACGTCTTGGGAACCACACTTCCAGCCCGGATTTACAATGTGTCCCTGAGTCTTAAAATAAATCTACTCTCCCCATCCATCCTTTTCCCATCTGTCCCTCCCCTCCCGGAAACCCCCCTCAGGCCCCCTCCCCAAGTGTAAACAATGTGGCCACTGCCAGTGGCTGCTCTTCCCTTCACTGTTGCCTTTATAATTCTCCGCCTGGGGAAAAAGCGTGTGCAGTGACCTTGGGTACTTTTCTAATCACAGAAAACAATAAAGCAGTTGTTATTAACAGAGCACCTTAATAGACTGGGGACTAATAAAGTCTTAGAGACAGGGACAGCCTTGTGGGAGTATTGACTGCCTCCCATGCTACCCCCTCCCTGTTCTTGACCAGAACAGGGAAATGAGCAGATTCGCTTGATCCTCAGGCACCTCATCTGTGAAATGGGACAGTAACACCGACCTTGGCAACTGGATTAAAATGGTGGATGGGAACCAGTGTCTCTCATGCCTGGCTGGCGGCAAACTTACCCCAGAGAACATCTACAACCAGGAGAACCCAGCCCCCACCCCTACAGATCCTGATCCAGTTGGTACGGGGCAGGGGTGTTAGTATTTTTTCAAGCTCTCTGGGTAATTCTGTACAGCCTGGGCTGAGCAGTACTGCTGTGAGGGATGTTTCCCTACCTCGATTCCCTCTTCCCCACCAGCACATGCTGACCCTCAGGAGAGAGCTTTTCACATAGCAGATGAGTAATACCTATATTTAATTTAAAATTTTTATTTTATTTACTGTCACTATTATTATTTAAGTTTTCTGTAGGACATTTGCACTCACCAGAAACACAGAGAGAAGAAAAGTGAGAAAACAAGCCACCAGGTCTGGGAGTCGAACCATGATCAGCCATGTGGGAGTCCGGCGCCTTAATCACCACAAAACCTGCTGGCTCCAATACGTATATTTTTAAATAGAAGTTAAAACATGTTCCCAGCACCATGCTTGGCACAATGATGCTTACTCTGTTCATTGAAGGAACAAGTGAAAAAATCCTGCCTTGTGGAAACAGGTTCCCGCCTCACCCAGAGTGACACTAGAGGGCACCCTTGACTAGCCGGCTCTGGTCAGGGAGGCTTCGTCCACCGGGCAGGGTCAGTTTAGCCGGTAAAGCTGGCACTGGAAGATTCCTTCATTTCCCCAGTCCTGACTAGCAACCACAGAGCCACCAGAGAGGGCTGAAGGACACCGGAGTCCTTCCTCCCTCTCACTGAACCAAGCCTCTTTGGCAATACCCCGGAGCCCCAACAGACCTCCTGACAGTGCTGCCCCAGGCTCTGTGTGCCTGATGCCCAGTATGTCCCCTAGACACCCCAAGGGCTGCTGCTCCCGGCCTCACCCCAAAGCTGAGACAGGCACCACCAGCCACAAGTCATGGTCTCCGCCAGGCATAGCTCAAGTGCCCAATAAAGCCACAACAAACAAGATGAGGAACCTCAAGTCATACCTGGATAAGGACCCCAGACTTGGCCCTACAAAAGTGGTGCTCAGTCTAGCTGGAGTTGCTGCCTTCTGTGTTCCATTCCACAAAGCAATCATTCTGGTGCCAGAACGGAGCCTGATCTGACTCCTGTCTCTGACGATTCATAATCATATAAAAGCCAGGGAAGCAATGAAATAGCTCTAACTCAGAATGGCAAGGCCTAAGATCTGTACCCAGGGCATAGAGATCAGGAAAACTTTCATAAAGGGAACATTTGAGTTGGGTATTGAAGTGTGAGTAGAAGTTCACTGAGCTGAGAAGGATGGGAGAGCATTACATGTCAGGGGAGCTGCCCTGCAAAAGTCAACAGAGGCATTGTTGAGGGACAGTATAGCATTCCTATTGACATCTTACAGAGGAGGACGCTGACACCCGAGGTCCACGTTGTCCTCGGCGACAGTTAAAAGCACATGGGACTAGAACCTGGGTCTTCTGATTTGGGACCCTGTGACCTTTCTGCTACCTGCCATCACCTTCTGCAGCAGAGGTCAGTTTTGGAGAGGTAGAGTCTTAGCTGTTGGGGTCATGGTCTCTCCTGTGGTTGAAGAGAGGTTTAAAGGATTGGGGGATGCATGGAAGAGACTTTGACTGCCATAGGGCCCACGTTCTCAAGTCCCCCGTAAAGAGTCATCTCTGGGCCAAGCAGAGCAGAGCTGGGCAGATGGGTGAAGGTTCCAGATGCAGAACCATAACCTTCTCACCCAGGATCACCATGGCAACAGGAGCATCACAGAGGGCCTGCCATGGTGGCTCAGCTGGGCAGGAAGAAGGGGACCCAGTTTGGCTGGGGGCAATAGGCAGGGGCCCTGAGCTGGGCCAGCCAGGCCGAGATGCTGCCTCCTGACTCTATGTAGGGTATCCACCAGCCTACACCCATCTCTTGGGCTAATCACAGAACAAC